CAATACTGCGTTCTATAAACGCATCAATAGAGGACTTAAGCTATGGAAACTGTTGCCGATATTCCACAGCGACGAATTTTGGAGGTTGTCTTTTTTATTTTATTAGTTAAACGTATTAGTTATTTACATATGTTTAGCCAGCTGAGCAATGAATTGTTTATGTATTAACAGTAGGCCTACGTCTAAATGCAGTCATTTATGTTTGCGGAATTGACAGTTAAAATTGTTGTAATTGATATCACAATGTACAATCGGGATCCTGATTTGCTTTGCTTTTCTCTGAGAAAAACATTGAGAGGGCAAGAAAGAGGGATGAGTGGCCATACATGTTTGGCAAAATCTTCACTTTTATCTTCATTTAATGGATTAAATCATGAAAATCGTGCATGAAATCGGTAGAAAGAGACAATTTACGAACTTCGGCTAATATTCAAAAATAGAATACCTCCACTCATTTTCAGGGGTAATAGTCGTTTATGTAGGTAATTACATGAAGGAACACAATAATATGGCACTATAAATGTTTGAGTTTTGTGCCGATCTTGGTTTAAGCCCGCGAACGTATTTCTGCCCCCACCCCACCCATGGCCACGCGTCACATCCGAAACAAAGCACGAGCGAACCGGCGATTATAATTCAAGAATGTTACCATGACATACCCCAGCTGGAGTTAAACCTCGTAGGGTAGAAATCGTCAGCCTAGATAAAAAATCCAACATCACTCCTATTACACGTCTCTAAGATTGTCCTTCCACGTGACAAATGCAGGAGCGGGTTCGGCGCTAGTGCTACACTATAGTATATACATGTGCACGTCATAGTTAATATACACGTCCATTAACCACATTAATTACTTACATGAAAGCTACAGAGGAGATGAAACGGCGGCGTCAAAAACTAACTTGATAAGGTCTTATATATATATATATATATATATATATATATATATATATATATATATATATATATATATATATATATATATATATATATATATACCGTCTTTTTGTGGAGACAAGCGGATGGCTGTCTGGATTTGGACGCTGGTGCATGATAGAATGATAGATAGGCGATAGTTGACGTTACAAGCGGCACGGTTTTTATTCCTGCTTGGACCTTGGAATGAGTTATGAATCACTGACCGGTTAGATTATATAAGTGTAATTACATATACACATACTGAGAGTTAGCGACGTAACCAGTCAGATGAGATTTATAATCCCCATTAAATGGCATTTCAATAATATTTACAAATTGTTTTATAAAGTTCTAAAATAAATTAATTTAAAGACATCACAAAAATTGCCGGAAAGTTTCCTGGATGATGGAAGCATAAAAGTCAATTGTAATTAACAACTTAAGGGCACATGGTGTGTGGATGGTTTATAGCTCTCCTCTTTACCTGTCACTGCTATATCACTCATGTTAATGTAGGTTATAGTCTCAGGCTCGACCAATGTGGGTATGTAAACAAGCTTGCAATTAGCTTTTCGTGCGACGGACAAGAACCATTAAACCAAAACCATTATCAACAACAATAACAAAAAACTGAGAGTATACACTGTTTACATATTCATCGCAAAGGAATGCAGTATGTATGCAGAATGTTCCCATTATCTGCAAATTAAAAGCAATATTAAAAGTTTTCATTGCATGGAAAGCTATTTGTGTCATTATATGGTACAACTATGAAGTAGATGTTGTTATTGTTGTTGTTTTTGTTGCTGCTGTTGTTGGAATAGTGTCCGGTCTTTAAGTACCTGTGCTTCTATTTTCAGGCATACATGCATACTCACGGCCATGGGTTATTCGATGTTAAAGAGTACGACATGACAGACGTCGATAAAAGCCTGACGCTTGTCTCCAATGAATCGACTTCCAAAGCACGGGGTGGAAAAAATGAAACGTTTCCTCTAGACCATTTGTTTTTCCTCAACACCAAGACGTCCATAGCTTTCTTAAACTACATTCCACTATCTCGATTAATTCGGCAGAAATGGCTTGCCTACAGATCGATATTTTATACAACGTTCTGTGTCCATTTTGTCATTATGATAATGTTGACGGTCACTGCCATTTTACGTGCAGAAAGGAAACCGGTTGGTGGGGTGAAGAGTTCTGCAGAGGATTTACATGATTACGTATTTTCATTCCAGACTGAGGTTGTGGGCGATCAATTTGTGATCACAACGGGGTTTATTAGCCTTGTCCTGGCTATTTTCTATATCTTTCAGGAAATAGTGCGGTTCAGTAAGGGCAGACTTCCGTGGCAAAGAAAGCACTTTTTTAGTAACTCCAACAATATGTTTCGACTACTGATTATCATCTTCGCATTATCTCTGATTGCAGATTTTATAGTTACATGGTTTCCCGTTTCAGGTGATTGCGATTGCGTAGATATTCCTCTTCTATTAGCTATTCTCACAGGCTGGTTCTTCCTTCTGTTCTTCCTGCGCGCCAAAAGATTTTTCTGTCAGTTTACTTCTCTCGTACAGAGGGCAATGTTCGAGATTTTAAAGTTTTCGGTCATTATCATGATTGAACTGGTAGCCTTTACCACAGTGATGTATGTCCTAATCCGTGGGTCAAAGGTTGACGCTGATGATAATGGGAAGGAATTTCAACAGCATTGGTTGAAAGCCCTTTTTCTCGTATTTCAACAAATTTTCGGCATTGGAGAGTTACCACAGTCGAACATCCGAAATCGCGTGTTTGTTAATATAGTGTACATATTTTTCATAGTGATGACATCAGTTCTTATGCTGAATGCCCTTATTGCAATTATGTCTAACATGTGTACTGATCTTTTCAACTCCAATGACGTAACTGCTTATCTAAGACTGCAGCAGTTCTCCATTATCCGATTCTTCGAGAGCATTCTGCCGGACCGCATGGCAATGAAAAAAGCCAGAAAGGACATGAAACTGAGCGAGAAATTTCGTTATAATCCTAACACAAAAAAGTTAGAGAAAATGGTGCGCTTTGTTCTCCCGATGGAATCACTTCGCAGTATTTCGATAAACTCAATCGCCATCTCTCCAGACAGTGCAGAAATTCAGCAAAGCAATAACACAAATATGATGGGAAAACCTAAAGAGGATGAACTCCCGAATGCAAGTAATTCTATCCTTGGATCAATCAGTGCTATAATTTTTCCAGACATCAGAAGTCGGAGAATGACCAAATCAGATTCCATAGAGATTCATCATCTCCGCTTGGGATTGTGTGATCGCTGTCATCAACAATACGTTCTTCCAAGATCAAAGTTGAATAAAATTGTCCCATTTGACTAAAAGGTGACATCAAACCATATATGATTTTTTCCGATACAATCTTTTCTGCAAATATTATATATTATGATTGACAGCATTTTGAGTTGTTATACTACTGAAAAATAATACTTGATATAACTAACATAGTCTTATTTGTACTTTATCTTTTTTATGAATATGTATGAAGGATCATTTTGAATAAACGATGTTTTCTGCTAGGTATTGTGTGTGTGTGTGTGTGTGTGTGTGTGTGTGTGTTTTGTGTGTTACGGGGATTAAATGTTCTTAAATTTCATGATTCGTTGTCTAAATGTGGTTTCAGGATATGAATGAAACTCTTCTGCATTCACAATGTATCTTGGGTCTACTGTAGTGTATACGCACACGTACATACACACACGCACCAGCACACACATATGCGTTCTAAAACATTACATGCTATTATCCATAGATTATGACCAAAGGCAAATAACATCACATTTTAAAATCATTTTATTTACTTGATATTGCTTCAGGTTTTGACTGTCGTAACTTTTAAGAAGGATCATGCACTGTACCGTATATTCGTTGAGTACAGAATGTAAGGAGTGTTTCCATAAGTACTATTATATATATATATATATATATATATATATATATATATATATATATATAGAGAGAGAGAGAGAGAGAGAGAGAGAGAGAGAGAGAGAGAGAGATAGAGAGAGAGATAGATAGATAGATAGATAGATAGATAGATAGATAGATAGATAGATAGATAGATAGATAGATAGATAGATAGATAGATAGATAGATATAATGTCTGCCGCAAAGGAAATGTGTATGCGGTACTTAATTTTATCCGAAATAATGAAGTAAAATGTACGCAGATATTAGCAAAAAATATTATAATGGTTAGATTAAACGAAAAGGGGAAAAGGGGGATTATTTAACAGAAATACACATTCAAGCGAGACAGTGTAAGTATATTTTTGATAATAACTTGATAAGTCCGTAACGTGAAATCAGGTTTCGAATTTTGGAAGGTTTTTTGTCATTGTGTGGTGGATTTTTTTTAAAATGCTTTTGAATGTGACAAATTCTAGTTGATAGTAATAACAATGGGTTGGTGTTTAGTTTAGTCTGTAAACGCACCTTTAGCACATTATCGGCTATATGGAACCCACGATTCCCAACCAGGTCAAACCTTGTCGGCTACCCGTGTCATTGGGAAACGCATTTATCTCCCATATCATGGTCTTGATTTAGCCATTAGTGTGTTTAACATGCCATTCAAAGTAATTACACAAAAGAAAACTACACCTTTATCACATGGATGGTTCTTTACCAGGCATGACGCACATCGGGTACATATACCTTAGACAAACACAAAATTGAAGCCAGGTTATCTGCCATATTATTTATAGGCACAATCACGAACAATGCATGTAATTTTTAAATAATGTAGGTATTTCAGCTTTTCACCTGTCTTGATAAAATGTCTCCCATATTTGCCACAGTTTTTAATCATAAGTGAACGACATGCCACTCTAAGAAAAGAAGTGCGATTCTTTATGCTCATTTGCAACTTTATGTAAATGCATCTCTCTCTCTCTCTCTCTCTCTCTCTCTCTCTCTCTCTCTCTCTCTCTCTCTCTCTCTCTCTCTCTCTCTCTCTCTCTCTCTCTCTCTCTCTCTCTGTATAAAGAAAGAAATGATAATGTGTTACGTATCTAATCAATTTGAAAAGAATCGCTCCGGTGGCCTAGTGGTTAAAGCGTCCGCCTCGGATGCGGGAGGTCGTGGGTTCGATCCCCGGTCGATTCATACCAAAGACTTACAAAAATGGTACTAACAGCTGTCTCATTTTACGCTCAGCATTAAGAAGTATGCATTAGGACTGATCGGCCTGGTGTCAGGATAATGTGACGGGGGGGGGCATCACGCTACATGTCTGCGGCATGATGTCCCAGTGCTAGACATCACTTTATACTGCAACACTGCAGACATCGTAGCGATATGATTGAACAATTGTTAAAGCTACATTAAAAATCAGAATCACATTACATCACATAATCACATTTTTATTATAAAAGTAATATCAAAAGCAAAGCTCTAAATCAAAATGTTAGAAAAGATAGAATTGCATCTTCTTGTGCACTGTCTTCATTCTCTTTAAATACAAATCGATTAAATACGTTTGCACAATTTCACAAAAATATGCAGATTTATTAAACGTACAAAGAATAAAATTCATTAGACGTCATACCTAAAAATATTACATAACTCACGGTCGATCCATATATAACATTTGCTATTTCCTCTTCCATCTCTATTGATTAATACGTAAAACTTGTTCGACTGTACCACAAAGTAGTTTCATGAGTTACAAAATATAACATTATACTTAATTTTGACCCTTTACATTCAAAATTAAATATACATACACTACCTAAGGAAATTTAAGTGTTTCTTGGTTGTGGGAGAGTATCTTCTTGTGAGAGCACCATTTTAAGGGCAGAAACGATTTGCGGTGTACATATATCTTCACTGCAAGTTGATAATGCTTCTTGTACGAGGAAAGGCAGTAAAATCAATAAATACCCCTTTTAAAAGTAGACAGGTTTGAACCGTTTTGGAAAAGGAAAACGAAATAAATCCATCTAACTCAACCCAGTTTTCAATGAATCAAGAGCTTGGGTTTTGTGTTAGACACTGTGTGCGTTTGTGTGCATGTGTGTGTGTGTGTGTGTGTGTGTGTGTGTGTGTGTGTGTGTGTGTGTGTCCCCTCTAAACTAAAATAAATATTCAACATCTTTCATTTCCAGGTATAGCGTTTCAAACGTTTTGGTTTGATCAAAGACCGTCTTAGCTTGGTGGCTTAAAATAGTTTCATGTTAACTTGTCAATTAAGTTTCGTCATGGGTTGCTAGGGCTTATCTCTGGTACATTTTTAACAAGTCCATAGCTTATTTTATGCAACTTTATATCAGAACAATTCATAATGAGTGTATGGATAGGCTCTGCTGTATCAATTTGAAATACGTAAAAAAAGATTTTAAAAATTCATATCTTTGATTTTTTTCTTAACTGACGGTGTCCATGCCAACAAGCACGTGAACACAACTTTACCAGATAAATCAAATCGCCTCATCCTTGTAATATACATCATATGAGGGAAATTGGAGGGAGAGGGTAGAAAACGGTCCTTATTCAAGAGTCCTTATAATTTCAACAATGTTCCTAATATAGTTACGATTAATGATTATAAATACATTGAAATTATTTTTTAATATGAATTATTCGACGCTAGTAATGAATTATAAAATGAAGCAGTCATTCCATATTTCTTACTGATGTGTATACAAAGTGAAGTCTAACTGTATGAGGCACTTCCACACACGGCGGTAGATCTTCCCGCACACGAAACAGTAAAGCAGTTGCTACAATCGCACCATTCCAGAAGCGAAAATACCACTGCAGTATTCGAACAGACAGCGACGCCGCTGATCAAACTCAAGCAAGAAATAGCTGCCTCATTATGTGTGTACAAAACTTGAGACGCTATCGATGAGGCCATAGAGGCATCTCCATCACAAATCCATGAGACCATCGTGGCGGCATAAGATGCCGCCCTCCCTCTTTCCCGCGTATGATTCAGCGTTAAATGCAGCAGTACAAAAAAGTTTACTACATAGGTCAATCTCGCATGAATAACTTCAAACTGGTTGTCAAGGAGAGATACATAAATAGGTTTATCTACATTATGGAAAGCGACAATATTGCAGTTAGCCAAATTGGGCTAATCATAGTTACCTAGATTTTGGTCTTTTGCAACCATGCATGTGGTTTGTACTAAAAGCCACTAACCAAATTTGGCTTAGAATACATTTATCATACAGTACATTATGGAAAGGGACAATGTTGCAGTTAGCCAAATTGGGCTAATCAAAGTTGCCTAGATTTTGGTCTTTTCCAACCATGCATGTGGGTTATACTAAATGAAATTAGCCAAACTTGGCTAAGCATACATTTATCATTATGTGCCTTTACTACTTTGGGTTAAGAGAATTTAGCCCACAGCAGAGGCCTGATTTGTTTAATGAAAAAATGCAAGAGAAATCGGAAGCTGTTTGTACCAATTATCACGACTTATATGTTTATTATCCTATTTAGATTTTAAAAACCGTTTTCGATCACTGTAACTTTTCACAGCAATTGCAGCTAAATCTTAACTTTTAGCATTTTAAATATCCATAATAGCATTTTCGATAAATTTGTCACTTGTGTTGATTTTTTCTTCATGTTCTGGTAGATCTTTCTCTTTATCACCTATTTCAACACGAACTTGGTCTGCGTCCTCGTATATTTCCGAGATTGGCAATGCAGCAGCTATATAAGCTGCAAGTTCTTTTTGCTATTTTTCCAGTTGCTTCAGCGGTTTTTTTTTCTAACGCAGGAAGAAGTCCTTTAGTGGTCTCAGTGATAGGTTTAAATAATTGTTTTGTATCCTCTTCAAATTCCACCCGAGACTCCTGACGAGATTGTAGTTCTTGTTTAACAAAATCACACGCGGGTATATATTTTCTACTTGCTTCTAATCGCTCTCGAGCTAATCTAGCAGAATGTGGTTCTCCAATATTCATTTATTATTATTAATAATATTTATCTGGCTGTTTAATTCATAGCAGCAGGGAGGGCGAACGACCAGTACTGAGTGACCAGACAAGTAAATGAAATAGCATAAAATTTGAAAAAAAAATGCTTCAACGATAACAACAATAACTGAGCTAACCCAAACGATTTATTATCAGTTTAAGTTAGAGGCTTTGGTTTAGCGCTATAGACCTTGTTTTTTTTTTTTTTTGGTTTCTTATGAAGGTTTAGTTTTAGGTAAAATGACGATTCAGCCAAGTGGTCTGTTCGCCCTACTTGCTGCTCGTTCACTTCGTATTTTAGCGAAATAGATACTACGTTTAATATACTTTTACTCTGTTTCTTGTTACCTATTTTCATACTAGAGTCCTGACATTATAATCAGAGATTTAGCTGCGTTCAAATATAAAATTGTGAGAAATAAGTTATTGAAATTATTTAATGAAATCAAAAAGTTTTCAATGACCTTTTTGATTAAAATAAATACTTTGGATAATTGCGAATTCATTCATACAGAAATTGGAATATGACAATGTCGTACAATAATATTTTGGAAATGTCTGTGTCATAGAAATAAAAGAATATTAAATGCATTGGCTTTTGTTCTAATCATTTACCTTCACTTTGTCCATCTTGCTGTGTACAAGTCCAAATTTATGAAATAAAAGACGTTTAATCTAAGATATGTTCCATTTGTGTTATACGAAAATGTTCTGCTAATAAAACTATCATTTAATATAAAGCCAACATTTGAGTTGTTTATCCTCTTGTCATTGTTAAAAATCACGTTCTGTTTTTGTGCATTAGCCATCTTAGAAGGGGCAGTCAATGCTTATTTTATGTTTTAGCTAATACTTAATTGACAACATATATGTTGATGTGGGATCTTAAGTTTAATGTTCCCACCTTCTTGTTAAAATGTCGTGAAAACATGAGCCATCTTACGTTATCTTCTCAAATTTGTTAGTTACCAGAAAACAATTAACAAACCTAAAGGTTTGAAGAAATAAAAAGACAAAAATTACACCGACATTGGCATTGTTTACAAATTCTAATAGGCCGACCAGGTCCAAAATTTAGTCAGTTTGGTGTTTGATATTTCCATGTGAAAAAAGAAAAAAGCTTTTTGTATTATTGTACATACTAGATGTAATAGACACGAAATATTGGACCTATGGTTAGATCTTAGATTCCTATACTTTAATAGAAGACGCAATTAATATTATATTTTTTTTACACAACTTTGATCCAGAATTTAATTTAATCCAGTATTCGGCCTTACGAAGGAAAGTGTTCTGAGGCAAAATACATAAGATATCATATTCATATGAAAGGGGTTTTCTTCATTTTTTTGTCAGCCAAATGTAGGTGACATCAGCTCTAAATGCTTTTGTCCCTTGGGTATTAAATGTTTTGATAGTACGCCTTGGCGCTATCATTTGATTGCTATTACGCCTCAAAAAACAATAGAAAGCTTTATGTAAGATATATCATTTTTTTTTTGGTTTATCTGGTCACTATTACAGGTAATAGCAAATTCTCTTGCACAGACCGCTGTTCAGTTTTAGCTTGAAATGTTCTGTTTTAGGTTGAAATACTAGGAACAATTCCCGACCAGACACAAAGCGTATAAACAACAACAATAAAAATTGTTCGCATCGTTTCTGAAGACTTAAAATATTAAGAGCGAAGTATATTAAACTGAAATAAAAGTACTTGCTTATTGTGATCTTCAAAAATAGTAATTCATACAAGTACTTACTAAGAAAAAATAATTCATACCTGTACTATCTAAATTATAATAATTCAGACCGATATTTACTAAACTATAGCAATTCATACCGGTACTTACTAAACTCTGGTAATTCATGCCAATACTTACTAATCAATAGTAATTCAACCGTTTTTAATTCAAGTCATAGCGGTATTTACTAAACAATATTAAATCATATAGTGATTCATATGCCTATCTACTGAGTCAGCTTATATCATTCAAGGATATATATATATATATATATATATATATATATATATATATATATATATATATATATATATATATATATATATATATATATATATATTAAGCTTGTATAACAACGATTCAGTGCCATCATTTTGTGTGATGCGTGCTTAGTCGTGACGGTATATGGGTTGGTGCTTGCAGGCAA